AATTTAACAGGAAAGTATTCTAAAGTGACTTAGAACTGAATGAGGACAACGAGACAGGTTGCTATGTGGTCTCGTTCTGTAACTTTCCCTTCTCATCCAGGTGACAAAATTAATTTAATTATTAATAATAAAATTATCATATATTTTTACCAAGCTATTTTCATAAGCAGTCACTTTATTATCTCTCCAAATGAAGCTTCTCTGAGCTTATGACACGTTTTTTGAAGGAGATTCATAACACAAAATAGAAATGGGCTGGGAGCCAATAGGTTTGCTGTTCCTCTAAATATCCCTTTTCATCAGTTTATGCAGAATCATCACACCAGAATATTCACTTATTCAAATAACACAAATTAACATTCTTCATTTGCAATAGAGTTCCATTCCCTCTTATTTGCCTGACGTTCTGTGTCTTCAAATTATTATTATTGTCAACATTACCTTCATGCATCATTGAACTTCTTTTGAATCATTGATCCAAATTTTCAAATAGGAACACTTTCTCTGTGTGAAACTTATAACAGAGAATACTAAGCTCACAATTATAAAAATATAAATGGTAGGAAATTCACCCTCAGAAACAAAAAGTACATTCTGTTATCTGAAGCAACTGTAGAAAGAACTGATCATCACACCTTCATAAGACCCACAACTTTGTAGTTGGTGATCACTACCATACATGTATCAAAAAAAAAAAAAACAACTGGAATTCTTGTTAGCATAATTTTTCCACTGATTTTTCTTCCCAAACTTTCATGTTGCTGTAGATCTCTTTGTTGGCCACTGTAGACATAGAGGTCTGAAGCTCATCACTTCAGGAATCTGTGTCATAGACTTAAATAAGGAAATACGTGGGTTAAAATTACACCAACATTGCTAGATGTAGTTGCATATCCCAGTGTCCTAGCATTTAGAAGCAGGAGTAAAAACATTTCAGAGCCCGTCTCCCTGCTGTGTAAAAATTTTCTCCAAATTTAAGCACTTAAGCTCCTCAATTTAGGAAGTAAGCTAACCTTACAAAACTCAGGAAGCAAGCAATTCATGACTCTCAGGAAGTTCCTGAAATGTGGAAGATTCACATATCTGTTCCTGTGATTATTAGCAACTGTTGGGGAATAGAGACTCTGACCAGCTGAGCTCCCTACCAGTTTTGCAGAGAGCTCCAGGGATGAGTCTTGTCAATGCTGGAATGTGTTTTTTGATGATGAGAGTCATACATTCTCCTGTCGGTTGCTTGTCACTCATATTCTCTAATTAATCCTGTAAATTGATTGGTTTACCAAGTAGTACTTTGATGAAATCATTTCTTCGATCTCTTGTTGATGCCCTATTTGGGGTAAACCCATGTTTGTACCTGCCTCACTAAGTCATATAACACTTGGCTACTTTTACTTAGTGAGTTAAGTGCCAACCTGGGTTACATGTGACATTGTCTCTAGATAAAGACAAGAAAAAATGATAATGATTTGAAAAATATGAGAAGCTACTTACTTCTAGCATGTCTTTGGACACCTATTTTTCTCTGAGGAGAAACTCAAAGCAGTTTCCTGGTGTGAGCCTGGACTTGAAGTTGAGATCACTGTATTGCATGACTTTTCATTTGTGGTCAAAGTTTAATGATGATTCTCATTTAGAAGTCATTGTGAGAGAAAAATTGCACAGAACCCTTTCTCCCAAGAAAATCATATTTTTTTAACTATCTAGTTCTTATCTCAGATTCTCTGTTTCTAAAATGAATCCTTAGTTTAAGGAAACATTTCCTAATGTTTTCAAATGATTACTTTTGATCTTGGTTGTTACAAAGATCAAGACAGAAAGCTAAGTTCATCTAGAAAGGTATTTGGTGATTTTTTTAGGTAAAGAAAGAAATCAAAGCCTTCAATTTGCCTTGAGAAATATTCGAACTTGGGGAAATCTTCAGATTTTGGATCAATCATATATGTTTAGATTTCTGCATTTTGAAGGCACTGGGCATTATGAAAGGGTAGGCATAGGAAATGTGAGGAAAATGCGTGTGTGTGTGTGTGTGTGTGTGTGTGTGTTTGTGTGTAGTATGAGTTGGGGAGACATACATACAGAGGCATGAAAGAGCTCTTCACTTTTATTTGGTAGCTCATTTTCATTGCTAGCCTTATGTGTCTTGGCTTTGAAGTAGAACTTTCTGGTATTTTCAGCTTGGAGCAAATCAGGGCGTTCTAATGAGTTTCCTTGATATTTACTTTGACCTGATTCAGGTCAGCTTATTGCTTTTTTTTTTTTTCTTTTCTCATACTCCAAAAGCAGAGTACTAGGAAGAAACCCTCTTTTGCTCATTAGGCCTTCGGTGAGTAGTCTTAACTCAAAGATTTCTAATTAAGCTGTAAGATCATTAGTGTGAGTCCTAACAGAGGCCTTTCTTCCCAGTTGGTGCTGTAATGGTGGTTCCAGGCATTCTCCTGCATCCGCCTCACTGAACATTCCATGCTCTTGGCACAGTTTCTCAGCAGTAGAGGGCCTTGACTGGTACCCAAGCTACTGTTTCAGGGCAGGGAGATAGGATATAGGCCTGAAAGAACCAAGAGGAGAAGCAAGTTGCAAAGGCAACGTTTACTTTGCTGCTAGTACCAGACCCACAGAGTGAACGGTGCTAAAGGACAAAGAAGAGGACACTAGGCTGATGGAAAAGACATGACTATGTGTTTTACAATTCTTTACCCAGGAAGGGAAGAACTGAGATAGATATTCATAGATATCAGATTAACTGTTTTTGTTTTGTATTCCATTATTTTGTGCTTCAGGAATTCAAATATCTATATAATCTTCACTATTGCAAAACCCACTTTAATCCAAGCTACCTTTCCCACATTTCTGACATTTTAAGTAGAGATATTTACTTCTCATTGGTGATGTGACATTGTGGATCATGTCAGCTAAATTATTTTCTTTTGAATGTAAAAATTATGATTAATTGAATTTTAATTGTGTACGGATTTATGGGGGAATTTACCTCCCAGTTAGTCATACTTATGACTTGTTTTATGTATGACATGTTAATTAGACCAAACATTAGAGCTGTAGTCAAGAGCAAGAGAAAATATGAAGCTGTGTACTTCCATTACTAGTCTTTAATCTTAGGAATATTAATGGGGATTTAAATCAGAAGCAAGAAGAATGTAATGACTCTATAGACACTTGAGTGGAAAATGTGCACTTATTGATTTGCTTCTCCTCTCTGTCATCTGAACTTTTGACCCATTTCAATTGTCACAATGTAATTAGTTTTTCTATTAAAGGAGTTGGGGCTAATAGAATAAAAATACTTTCTTTCATAATTAGAGTTGCTGGGTTTCTGGGAGAAGATGGTTATTTGGGTTATTTGTAATTTCAAATTCAGTTAGCGGCAGTGGCAAATGATTATAATTTACATATACATATTTATCTTTCATTTTATTAATTTACCATGTTGGAACTATTTGAGGGTGACATATGAGTATTGACTTCATTCTGTGTTTTGATGTAAGTGTCATCTAAGGCATAGAAAGTTTAGAGAGAGCGCAAATTTACGCTACACTGTGATTGGCGATGGAAGGCTTCTTCTGTGATTACCCTGTGGTAAGATGGAAAGGAGTTTGCTCGACATGCCGATCTCAAGGCCTATTTCACAAGGGATATTACTAACTTTGAGGCATTAGAAATCTACTCATCATGGTAGACCACAAAGAGTAATGTGAGGGATAATCTTGTTTGTCAACTTGACAGATGTGGGAAGAGGGAACCTCAGTTGAAGAACGGGCTTACTCAGAGTGGCCAGTGGGACACTGGCTATGGGGACATATATAGACACATATGGCTATGGGGACACTTTCTTAACTAACTGCTAATTGATGCAGAGCGGTCCAGCCCAATATGGCAACGTAATCCCTAGGTAAGTGGGCTGGGCTGTACTAGAAAGGTAGGAGAGAAAGCCAGGGGCGACAAGCTAGTATGAAGCTTTCCTCTGTGGTTCTGTTTCATTTCTTTCCTTGAGTTCTGCTTCAGTTTCTCTCAAAATATTGTAACCTGTGAGGTAGAATAAGTCTTTTCCTCTTCAAGTTGCTTTTGGTCAGTGTTTTATCATAGCAACAACAGAGAAAAATAAAGATAAGTGGTAAAGAAAGAGCTGAAGTCAAGGAAGAGTTATTACAAAGAAATATCTAGTATGCTGTAAGTTTTCATAGAGACATGGTTATTGGATGTATCTGGATAGGGCCAATTGCTGTATTTTTTCATTGAGATGACTTATCACCCAATAAATGAATTTTTCTCATAGTTTTGTAAAAATATAAATGTAAACATTTCTGAGTCAGACAAAACTTAGACTACAGATTCCACTATCATGGCTCACATGCAAATGGTTGTCTATTTAAATATATATGAGGGCCAGGGTTGCAATGCAGTGGCACAGACTTTGCTTGACATAGGCAAGGTCTTGAGTTTAGTCCCTAGAACTTCAAAAGTAAAAGTAAAAAAAAAGTTAAAATATACAAAAAAATGTAGCTCAATAGAGAACAGTGGTTTTCACACTTGTGTGCACATTGCACCCACCTGGGGGCCTCATTAAATTCATAGTCTGCACTTCACCCTTAATGTTCCTAACACATTCCCAGCTGTGGCTGAGACTGCTCTCTGGGGTCCCATATCGAGAACCATGGTATTAGAAGATGCCTATGAGATTTTAAGAAAGTATTTCCTTACTATATTTTAGCTCTCAGTTCGGTCAGGATTTCTGAATTGCTGTTGTTGAGTCCATCTAAAAAGGCAGCAGGAATATTTCGTAAAGTTATAGTTAGATGTGTTTGCTGTCACTTTCACAGTATACATGTTCTGTACATATATCAATAATCATTTACAACATGTGTTTAAGACATAAGGCTAAAGAAATGTATGTGATCCATGTATGTCTATATACCTATGTATAATTAGATGTCTAAGACTATTTTCGATGAAGGTATAACTTTAAGATGAATTATTTTTTCAACAGGAAAGAGTGTGAATGTAGTTCTCTTCCTGCCACAAATCATGCATTGAGTTTCTTGCACTTTGGGACATCTCAGGGCTCACCACACCCGGAGTGCAATACATGAACCTCACCCTGAGAAAACCATCTTCACGATCCTGGTATTCCCCTGCCAGGTAAAGATTTTTTTCACTGATATTTGTGATTTACATACCTACATCATTTTTGAAGTTTATGTTGCATTTTTGTTTTTGAGGAAATGTTTGAAGTTGGATGGATATTTCCAAGGGTTTTATGCAAGGTTCCTGCGGTAAGTGAAGACAATACATCCCTGGCTCTTCTGAGGAAAGCTTGAAGACATTAGATATCTTGAACAATTCTATTCTCTTATTGAAGTACTTCAACACTGAAATGTTTTCATCTCTGAGATAGATCTTAAAATTATGAATCTTATGTGTATCTATAGTTAGATGTGACTAGTTGCTTCATTTGACCATTGATTGAGTTATGTGTTTGTACTTCTTTTCATTTTCCATATTTATAGTAAAGGGCATTGAACCCAGGCCCAAATATGCCAGGCAAAATTTCATCACTTTTCTATATCCTCAACCCTAGTTCCACTTTTACAGGGAGTGTGTATGTATTTTTGAACCAGTCTTTTATTTAAACAAAGCTTCAAACTGTTTGTCAAAGAGTACTGTCCTCATGTCTGTAAAGCACTGCCCAGCATCTACATACTGGGAGCAGATGTTCACCAAATGGCTGCAGAACATCTGTGTCAGTGGTCCATGGGTCCTCACTGTGGGTTGCTGGAGCACTCACAAAGGTTCACACTTTCTCTTTTTCTAGTTCCCACACGCCTGCATTTGATTAGTGTTTTAAATACTAGAAGCCATGGTGAACGGCAGGCTTCCTGTCAAGGGAAATACCCAATCATGGGACGTGCCATGGCTCCAGGCATACCCTGGTGTCTTGTATCTGCATATTTTATTGTTTGAAAAGAGATGTAACATTGAGGCTCCAAGTGTTCATTGAAATATCGTCTTTGTTGATTTTTTTTTATTGTGGTCTTGGGGTGTGACAAAATAATGTGTATTGCTGAAAATCTACCTTATACCTACTGAAAAACCTTTTCAAAAGAATATTTTTGTTAGTAAACAAAGGAATGGGTTTATTGTGTCACTTTCATACTTATGCATCAATATACTTTGTCCTTTAACTCCCATTGTTCTTCCCATTGTTCATCCCTTGCTGGTCCTTCCTACCCCTAAGTAAACCCCCCTTCTATTTTATTCTACTGTCCTCTCTAGTTATCCCTCCTCTTTGCTTTAGACCTATCCTTTCCTCACACAGACCACTTTATTCTTTCATGCCATTTGCATGTCATGAATATATATGGAAAATTCAGATTCCACATATGATCAAGACATATTTCTCTTTTATGAGTATAATTTATTTCACTTAATACAGTGATCATCAGTTCCACCCATTTTCTTGTGAATGTCATACTTTTATCTTTCTTTACAGCTAGACTAAATTCTACTATGGGTCTTTTCATTGATTTATCTTTTGATGGACGTAGAGGTTAGTTCCATACTTTCCTTGTTGTGAATAGTACAGTATAGATATGGATGTGCAAGAATCTCTGTGCTGGACTGGCTCATCCTTTTGGATCTGTAGGAGTAGTGTAGCTGACCTCCATCTTCAGTTTTTTGAGGAAACTCCCTTCTGGCTTTCAGAGTGGCTGCACTAGTGTACTAGCGACATTCACTCCAGCAGTGAATAAGGGCTCCCCTTCACATCCTCACAAGCACTTCTTATTGGTTCTCTTGGTGATGGTAGCCGTTTTGAATAGGAAAAGGTAGAGTCAGCACACTTTGTATTTTCATTTCCCTAATAGTATTCAGTTGTTTTCCAAATATTTATTATCCATCTGTATTTCTTTCTTTGAGAACAGTTTCTTTCTACTCAATGAAGTAGCACATGTATTATTAATGACGGACAATTTGCTTTATTGGTGTTTTGAGCTTCGAGTTTTTCATAGACTTTAGATATTAATCTCCCGTAGTCAATATAGTCGTCAAAGATTTTCTTCCATCCTGTCAGCGACCTTTTCTCTGCGCTGATTGTTTTCTTTGTTTTGCAGAAACTTTTCACTTTGAGGCAACCTCATTTTCCAGTTATTGAGGTTGTCTCTTTAATGCTAAGTCTTCAAAGTAAACATTTCTTCGTTTACCATCTGATTTCCAGATTTTCTATCTCTTCCACGGGAAGAAGAAATACCATGGGAAAAACTGCTTAGGGACGTAAGTGTTTATATCAAATATTACTAAATTTCAGCTTCAATTTAATAGCATGAAAGTTCTTTCTGATTTTATCTATGTTTAAGAGTCCAAATAGAATGTAAATACGAGAGTGGGAGGCAAGCCGCACGTAGGGGTAGAAATCATGTGCTCCCATTTTCCTCATTAATTCTCATCCCTGATGTTGACTTTATGTTAGACACACACAAGTAGTTTCTTACACACTAAACATATTTAAATGTTGTCCAATGACTAGATTGCCTCAAAACATTGTCTACTCAGAAGATAAAATCTTCCAAATCTACCCCATTGTGTCTAAACATTAGTATTTCTTCTTCCAATTCCTCAGTCAGTTTTTGAGATAGCTACTGGAAACAACAGCGAAAACCATAAAAAACAAAAAACACACAAAAAAGAATAAGCAGTTTCAAAGTTTATTTTGACTGAAGTCATTATCTTTCCAAATTTGATGATGAAATTGTGATTAAAGTGTTATAATGATGGCTTTTGACTTGCAGAGTCAAATTCACACAACTCAATGAAATACATTTTCTCTAGACATCATGCCTCCCCACATCAAACAATAAACCCAACAATGCTCTTTCAGACTTACTAATATAGCCAACATATCATTCTATAATTGCAGAATATTCGCAGAAAGCATCATTAGTTTCTTGTTTGTTTGTTACTTGAGTGTTTACGGGTGCTCCTCTTCTCCTGGGATGACACACAGATGTGATTCTCAGAATACTGAGAGTATAGAAGGAGTGTGACAGTTTTATTTATAGTAGTTGGCAGCTTCAGAATCTTATGCTAGGGCATTATGTGTTTATACAGAACTGTGAACTTTGGGGCATTTTAACAGCCAATAGTGTTAGAGCCTAGAGCAGGGAAGCAACCTGGGCCTCGAGCAGGAAGACAGCCCTGACCAATAGTGTCTCTGAGTTGTAAAGTGGTCAGTCAACATGGTCTTGGGGAATGGTTCGTTTCTCCCGATAATGCTGATCCCTGGAGGTGCATATACTGTGAACACATGGAAGTTCAACCTTTGACATGGCAGCAAACCTTTCATTGCTTTGGATCTTGAGTATTGTTGACTTAAGAAAACTAAGTATTGTTACCAAGTCAGGAATATACTTCTTAGTCGTACACTTTTCCAGTCCTTGCAAATGAAATATTTAAAATGAGTTTCTTTTTGCAAACAACTTTGTTTTGATTACTGAGATTCACAAAGAAACCAGGGAGCAGCCCTCCCTGTACTAAGGAGCTTGGGAAGCCCAGAGGGGACAATGGCACTTTCAAAATAAAAATGCACGAAAACACTTCACAATGATAGCCCCAAATAGTCAAGCTGCTGGTTGCACTGGAGGTCTGGAGGTGTCTGACACTTACTTTCCACTTATCTTTTTATAAAAACAAGGTAAACAGACTGTGGTGTTTCTTGTTTTCTGAAAAAATATTAGAACCTTGTTAATCATGCTAGACTGAACATGGCAGCCAAAGGAAAAATATGATTTTAAGTATAATGGTGCATGCTGGAAACACAGATTGGCAAGCATATGGGGTTCTGGCATCTGGACAGACGCCTTCTGAACCATCTGCTTCTCAGAGGTTATTTTGGCAATTTCTGCAGTAATTCCAGTGATTCACAGGTCTGGGCTGAGCATCCTTAACAAGCAGCTAAGAGGGGCATGGGTACTCAGAGGTTCTGTGCACAGATTCATTTCACATGGTCCTGGATAGTGAGCCACCTTAAGATGTAATGTCTGTCAGTATTTCTTCGTGGTGGCGGCAGACATTTCTTCATGTTAATATTTTCTTTATATTATACTGCAGGAGATGGTCATTTTCTCCTTGAGAGGTGTCCCTCTGCCTCTGGTTCTCTGAAATGTCTGTGACTATATGCTCTACTGCATGTTCTTAAATGCAGACCTAACTGGCACCTCAGCTCTCCTTTTCTCATTCTATCCAGTGTTCACAGGAATTTTAGGCATTTCTTACATGGAAAGATGCCTTATGGCCTACTTTTAAAGTTAAAACCCTTTTTCTTTTTACTTTTGAAGTATGTGTACAGCATATTCTTATTTCAAGTTTTGATTTAAAAAATCTAAGTATATATTTAAATATGTTATATACATTGATTACATATTTGACCCCTCAGCTTCAGATTTTTATATTGAAGCCCCATGACTTAATATGTCTAGTGGTTTCGCGGGTGGGATGTGTGAGTTCTGGGTGGTAGTCACAGATAGAAAAGGTCATGAAGGTGCTGTCCCCCTGATGGCACTCGTGTTTCATGAGAGCTGGAAGAGATAGGTGCTCATTCTGAACAGTATTTAAATGCCACCAAGAGAGTTTTACTGGAGTCCAGCCATGTTGGGACAGTCCTAGAGGCTGGAATTGCAGGAATTGAGAAGTAAACGATTGTTGGTTTCAGCCATTCAGTGTATGGTCTTTGTTATAGCAACCTGAGCTGACTAAGTAGATGAAGTAGACATGTTTCCTTTTTAGGCTTTTTATGGATTTTTAAAGGTATAGGCATAATTTTAATAGATGACAAAAAATTTTTGATATTATTACTAACCACAAGCCAACATTCTATAATCAGAATAAATGTGAACATATTCTAATAAATACAGAGTTACACATAAAGTTATAAAGTCATTCATTTTGTAACACATTTACCCAGAAAGCAGTCTTTAAGACTATGTGTGGTGTTTTTGATTCCTTTAGCTCTTAATAATGCAATGCTAATCTAGGGAACTACTTCTAGACCCCGATTTCATCCCCTCAGTGAAGGGAAGACTGACAGTCTTGTCTGTCCCCTCTCAGTAGCCATTCCTCTTGCTTTCATGCAGCTTTAGACTGCTGGGGTGACTGT